GCTGCTGCTGCTGCTGCTGCTGCTGTTGCTGCTGCTGCTGCTGCTGTTGTTGTTGTTGTTGTTGTTGTTGTTGTTGTTGTTGTTGTTGTTGTTGTTGTTGTTGTTGTTGTTGTTGTTGTTGTTGTTGTTGTTGTTGTTGTTGTTGTTGTTGTTGTTGTTGTTGTTGTTGTTGTTGTTGTTGTTGTCGTTGTTGTCGCCGCTCACGCTGCAGTGCGCTGCCAGGGTCGAAGATCCAGCTCGTGCCTGGAACAGGACCGGCGAGGGCGCGGTCGTTGCGGTCACTGACGGTGCACACGCGCGGATCCGGGCCCTGAACTGCGAGGGCAAAGCAGTAGCGCCGACCCCGCTTGATCTTGCGATGACTGTGCATGTCTTGACCGTCGTTGGGGTCATACAGGGAGTCTCTGTTCCTGTTGTAGTTCCTGTCAATGTATGATTCATCGAGATACACCTACAGGCAATTGAGCCACGTGAGACACGAAAAGGGAACATTGCACATGCGAAGAAACATCGACAACACAGCAGCATGGGCACACACACACACACACACACACACACACACACACACACCTCTCTGAGGCGCTCGTCAGGTGGCAACCTCCTGTTTGCATCAAACTCCTTCAGATACTTCGCCAGCAGCTGCTTGTGCCTCGGGTTCTCTTGAACAACGTGCTTGTTGCCGCGAAGGTAGCCCGCACGACGAAGAAACCGCTGCACTGCCCGCAGAGCCGCCGCCCTGTCCAGTTCGTCGTCACCATCGCCAGCAAACGAAGGTCGTACGTCCACATGTCTGTGCTTGCGTAGGAAGTCAAGCACCTGTACGGCCGTGATGCGGTGTCCACCTTCTCTCTGCATGCGCACGTGATCGCGAACCTGCCTGAGCACACGTTTTGTCGTGGGCACACGTGTCGGCAGCTGTGTCGCCTTCCCACGGCGGTTCTCAACAGAAAGTGTCTTAAGGCCCTGCAGACACGAAGCACATGGAATATGAGCCAACATGAACAGATCTAAGACAAACAGCACGCTGGTGTATGAGTTGACCACAGCAGGTACATCTCCTCAACTCACATCTATGCCGTGCTCTTGCAACAGCTTGTTGAGCATTGCATACTTCCGACGCACAGTGCTGAGGCCAACCCTGTGTTGTTCCAGACCGAGGTAAAAGAGTGAAGTGAGGTCGGCCATGCGAATGAATCATCTATGTCACAGTTGACACATGCAAACACGTCAGCTTGCACACTAACAAAAGAGTGTCAACATACCCCAACTGCTTAGCAGCACGTTCATCGACCTGGCCATTCGAGCGCTTGCCCTTGGACTTCCTCCGGTTCTCCAAGTGTGCCAATTTCAACTGCATGTACACATGCAAAACCAGAAGCGTTTCCTTCTCTGTCAGGGTTCCCTGACCCCTCATGTTCCTCAGGCACGCACATATCTCCATGATCTCCTGAGGAGTCAGGTGCTTCTTGGTTACCGGCTTGGGCATGTCTTGTCGTGCCCGCTTTGGTGAGTTGGTGGCAGCTCGCCTTCATCCTTTCATCGTCGCTCAACACCTCGAAATTAGAGGCACAAAAACATCATCGCCCATCGTCGATGATGGTGGTTGAAATTTCCTCTATTTTGCCGACGATTTGCACGAAAGATGCAACTTGACAGCGGTTGCTTGGGGCGTGTGCGTCACCCTTGCACCCCAAACCAGCGCAGATGCATGTGCAAGGCCGGCGTGGTGCTGCCGCGCAGCCTGCACACGACTCAAATCCAACCACAAACGAGAAAAATAAAACCCTACCATTTCGTGTGTCGGGCACTATCACAACCAACGCAAAACAACAAAAATAACAGTCGAAGTTCGGAAGATTTGATGGCATTTTCCACCAAATTTCGCTTCGTTGCGGACGATGATGATGAGCAGGATGTTTGCTGTGGTGGTGCTAGCGGCACTGGCTGCTGCTGTTGGCGCTGGGGCAGCAGCTGCAGCGAGTGGGCCGTTTGGCGATGGGCCAACACCCACCACTGCAAATTGTACCCTCACATGGTACAACCAGGTAAAGTGGCTGTGATGTTCTTTTTTTTGTTTTTTGTTTCAGGCAGGCAGGCGGGAGGAATCGAATGTTTGTCACCTTGAGTGGAAGCGGCGGCGTGTGTTGTTGCTGCGTCGCCCAGCTCCCTCTGCGCTCATGCACTCTCTGTGCTCATGCACTCTCTGCGCTTATGCGCTCAATGTATGTGAACCGAATCGTATGGTATGACGTTTATTTTGGCCTGGCAGACGACGGATCACTTCCAGTGGCGACCATCTGGCACGGCGGAGGAGCCACTTACCTTCCAGCAGCGCGTGTTCATCTGTGACCAGTACTGGGACAAGACAAACCCTGGCCCCATCTTCTTCTACGCGGGCAACGAAGGCGACGTCGAGCTCTACGGTGCGCGCGTACATACTGTATGTTTGTTTGTGTGTGTTTGTGTGTTTGTGTGGGTTTGTGTGTGTGTGTGTGTGCATGTGTGCGTGTGTGGGTGGGTGTGTGTGCGTGTGTGTGTGTGCATGTGCGTGCGTGTGTGTGTGCGTGCGTGCGTGTGTTTGTTTGTGTGTTTGTAAGACAGGGTTTGTGCCACGGTTGGATTGATGCTGTTATGTCTTCTTTGGACCTGCCACCCTCACATGCACGTACACACACAACACACACAACACACACATCCACGCACACGTGTGCAAATGTGCAGTCAACCACACCGGGCTGATGTGGGAGAGCGCCCCCATGTTCCGCGCGCTGCTGGTATTTGCCGAGCATCGCTTCTATGGCAAGACACAGCTGACACCGGGCGCCAGCGGGCCCAGTGAGCACCAGTACAAGTACCTCACACACGATCAGGTGAACCCCTCACACTTGGTTAGAGTTGTCGCAGCTGGGTGCTGCTGAGAGCACCCACAGCACATCAGCTACATTGCCTTCGGATTGATGGTCACACAAGTGTGCATATCCGCCTGCGATTGCTTGCCAATTGCATCATCAGGCCATGGCGGACTATGCCCATCTCCTGTATCACTTGAAGCGCGACCGCAACTGTGAATCCAGCAAGACCATCGTCTTTGGAGGTGTGTATCGTGTATGTGTGTGTGTGTGTATGTGTTTGCGTGCGTGCGTGCGTGTGTGTGTGTGTGTGTGTGTGTGTGTGTGTGTGTGTGTGTGTGTGTGTGTGTGCGTGTGCGTGCGTGTGCGTGCGTGTGCGTGCGTGCGTGCGTGTGTGTGCGTGCGTGTGCGTGCGTGCGTGTGTGTGTGTGTGTGTGTGTGCTGTGCGCGGTGTCCTGTCGTCTGCTTGTCTACTTCTTGCACTCACGCGCCGCACTTACCAGGATCATATGGTGGCATGCTTGCTGCGTGGCTGCGCATGAAGTATCCCGTGAGTTGAAGCACGAGCCCATGGCGGCTATGCATGTGTGTGTGTGCGTGTGTGATGTGTGTATGTGTGTGTGTTGTTTCGTGTTGCATTCCCTGACACACTGTGCTTGGATGCAACCACTGCGAATCCTCATCACCATCGTCATTACCACCGCCCCCTGGATAATACGGCGCATGTGCAGCAAACATTTGACGGCGCCATCGCGGCCTCTGCTCCAATTCTCGCGTTCCCCGGTATGACCCCGCCATTCGACAGCAACGGCTACTGGCAGGTCCGCTCGCTTGCCTGCTCTCGTTTATGTGTGTGTGCGTGTGTCTGTCTGTGTCTGTGTCTGTGTGTGTGTATCTGTACCTGTGTATGTGAGTTCACCTGTGTGCACCTCTATGTACATGTGCACGTTGTGTTTCCATTGCATCCCTCTCATCCACGGTCTTCTCTCGTCCACCATGCATCCGCTCCCCTCTCCCCTCGCCTTCATCGTGAACAGGTGGTGACGCGTGACGCCACGCCCGCTGCCGGCGCTGCGCCCGCGTGCGAGAACAACATGCGCAACGCGTGGAAGGAGCTCTTTTCACGTGGAAAGACAGAGGTCGGTCGTGGTGTTGGTCGTGGTGTTGGACTGTAGTTTGCCGTGCTGTGCTGAGCTGAGCTGAGCTAAGTTTGCTTGCTTGGTTGTTTGTGCGCGTTACCATGTTCGTTCTGTATCATGGGGCGTACTGGTGAAGGTACGATTTTGTTTCTTCTGCACGAACGGCTCTGTGCTTCACCGTGCCCTTATGTTTCTAACACCACACCACAACACACACACACACACATACACTCACACACTCACTCACACACTCCCACACTCACACACACTCTCATACTCACACATCCACACAAAACACACACATGAATGGTGCTAGTCTGGCCGCAAATCGCTGTCCACGCTGTTCCGCACGTGCTCGCCCGTGACGTCAGAGGATGACACGTGGCGTCTGGCCATGTTTCTGCTCCTCTCCATCGACACGCTCGCCATGGGCAACTATCCTTACCCGAGCAACTACCTCACGGGCGGCGGGCCCAAGCTGCCGGCCTATCCTGTGGTCGCGGCGTGCAAACCACTGGCGAAGAAGGACTTGAAGGGTGGGTGAATATGTGTGCGTGTGTGCGTGTGCGTGTGCGTGTGCGTGTGAACGTGTGTGCGTGTGTGCGTGTGTGCGTGTGTGCGTGTGAACGATTGAATGACCCTCTTGCATTGCAGTCTCAATCTTCACTGCATCTTGCTTCAACGTGACATACCCACCACCATCAGGCGATGCTCTGCTTTCCGCCCTCCGTGACGGCGCAGCCGTGTATGCAAACGCAACACAAGACCTCACCTGCTTCGATATCCCAGACCAGAAGCACGTCGAGCAGGTGCTGTGCGCAATGTCTGTGTGTGTGTGTGTATGAATGTATGTCTGTGTCTGCATCCGTGTGTGTGTATGTGTCTGTGTGTCTATGAATCTGCGTGATTGTACGCTCCTTTGCTTGTGTGCGTGTGTGTTTACGTGGATGAAAGCTTGAACGTCCCTTCGCTTGTGTGTATGCGCACTGCGTGCTGCTCCTTAAAATGCATCCGCTCACACACGCGCCAATATGCACGCACATATGCACGATCATACACACGCACGCACACGTGTGTTCAACTGCGTCGCACACCCACACGCACATGCACACACGCACAACACACGACAGGATGGAATCTGGGACTACCAGTGGTGCACGGAGCTGATGCCGCAAGAGACGTACTTCTCGCTCAACGGAACAACAGACATGTTCTGGGCACAGCCGCAGGACATGGCGTTTGTTAGGTGCGATGACCTGCGCATGCGATGCGGAGATGAAGACGGCAGAATGGTGTCGCTAGAACGTGGTCCACAAACACCCCCCCCCACACACACACACACACTGTCACTCGACTCACGAGGCGTGTGTGTATGTGTGTGTGTGTGTATGTGTGTGCGTGTGCGTGTGTGTGTGTGTGTGTATGTGCGTGTGTGTGTGTGTGTGTTTGTGTGAACATACTGCACATGTGTATGCATCTTGCACACATGTGTGTGACTAGGGACCATTGCCGCACCAAGTATGGAATTGTGCCACGCGAGGACTGGATGGCGGTCAAATACGGTGGCCTGGTGCGTCCCAGCACGCGGCGGGCGAAGATGGCGTGTTTGTGGGTGCCTCGCTCGTTGATTTTGAAATTTCCAACCCCCTTCTAAACACACACACTCTCTCAATCACTCACTCACTCACACACTCACTCGCTCACTCACTCACTCGCTCCCCCCAACACACCAACACACCAACCCTCACGCTCGCGCGCCACATTTCAGAATGCGCTGCCTGCTGCGTCCAACATTGTGTTCTCCAACGGACTGCTGGACCCTTGGTCCTCCGGCGGCGTCAAACACAACATCAGCGACAGCATCACCGCCATCATCCTGCCCCACGGCGCACACCACATCGACCTCTTCTTCACAAACCCGCAGGACACGTGGGACATCACGTGGGCACGCAACTACCACCGCGCCCAGATTGCAAAGTGGCTTGATGGCTGACCGCACGCACACACACACACACACACACACAATCTCTCCCTCTCTGCATGCGTATCTGAGTCTGGCTCCCTTCAACTCCATGTGTGCTCTCTCTCCCTTTGAAGTACACCCATGCTTTGACGTGTCACACACACACACAAACTGCACACATGCACACTGTTTCTGGTGGTGGCATGATGATAACGTGTCTAATGGGTGTGAAGAATCAATGAGGATCAACAACATGGTCGCGCACGCATGAAAAGGGGCAACAGCAACAACAACAACAACAACAACAACAACAACAACAAAACAGAAAGGGCGGGCGATTGGGGGAATCCGTGTGCAACAGGGATGGTTTGAAACCACACACGGCGAGTCTGACTGACCGCGGGCGGGTCTTGTCTCGCTCACAAAAACGCGCGAGAATGAAAGTGGGAGGTTTAGCATACTGCTACCACACTCGCTCACTCATCATGGCTCATCCCACCCCCCCCCCCCACACACACACACACACACCCATCGTGCAAGACCCTTCCCCCGTCCCGTCACCTTCTTCTCTGCATCTTCACATCTTCCCAGGTGGAGGGGCGGAGCTGCTGTACGCTGGAGGCGCCTGTCCCTGCTGCTGCGGGTACCCCTGTCCGGGCGCTTGTGGTGGTGGTGGTGCACCATATGGCGCTTGCTGTTGCTGTGGATACGCAGGTGGCGGTCCCTGCGGCGGGTAGCCTTGCGGGTAGCCCTGTGGCGGATAGCTCTGTGGGTAGCCACCCTGTTGCTGTGGCGGCTGCTGGTGCTGCGGTGGTGGTGGAGGATAGTACGCGCCTCCCTGCGGCGGCTGTTGCTGCGGATGTTGTGGATAGCCCTGGGGCGGGTAGGCGTGCGGTGGTGGCGGTCCTGCTGGCTGTTGTGGGTAGCTGTACGATGCCGGCGGTGGCGGCGGCGGCGCCATGGAGGTGGGCGGTGGCCCCATTGGCGTGAGCTGCCACGGGTATGCGTGGCGCAGCTTGCCTGTCCCCTGATCTTGGTGGAAGCCATACACCTCGATGCCGCGGCCATCCACGCCTTTGCTCACAATGTGGCCCTGCAAGTTGAACCCGTGCTCGCTCTTGTACTGGACGCGCTGGCCCACCTCGAACCGCTGCATGACGTAGCCCGGCGGCGGCCTGCTCTCCACGGCTCCCATGGCGACGGGGTTCCCAAACAGAAAGTCCGGTATGAACGACGTGGTCGGCTGTTGCTCTTGTTGTTGTTGTTTTCTTCTTCTTCTATGTGTGTGTCTATCGACGCTCTCAAGTCGGCGCTTGGCTGCTTTGCCTTTGCCTCGTCTTCTTGTCGTGCGACTTGCGTACGTGTGGACGTGTGTGCGACTTTGACTTAGTGCTGTGCTTGTCGTGTGTGAGATATGGTTGGTTCGTTGAGTTGGTTGTGTGTTTGTGTTGGTTGCGTGGAAAAGCGCAACTCAGAAGCAATCGTGATGACTCATCCCAACTGACTTCAGTCGATACATGTTTTCCGCCTTGAAGGTCTTCATTCACTCCTTCCACACGCACACGCACACGCACGCATTCACACACGCACGCATTCACACACGCACGCATTCACACACGCACACACACGTACACGCATTCACACACACGCACATTCACACACAACAGAAGCTATATCCAGGACGTCCAGCCCTCAAAGATGGTGGCGAGGTTGTCCTTGGCCGTAGCAGCCTTCAACAATAGCGACACATGCTCAGCAGCCGTGAGCACACACCCAGCCTCCGCGCCATCCTTGTGCTCCAGCTTTTCCTTCACCTTCTGCCACACTTGCACCGCATACGTGTTCTTCTTCCGCTTGCGTTGCTGCTGTTGCTGCTGGTGGTGGTGCTGTTTTCGGTGTGGCTGTTGCTGCTGTTGTTGTTGCTGCTGGTGGGGCTGGCGCTGATCCCCCGCCATCTCGTCATTGCCTTCCCGCTCCTGTGTGCCGCTGGCCGAGCGAGGGCGGCCCACGCTACTACTTCGGCTGCGCCGTCCAGTGCTTGGCGTGCGCGTGCGCGTGGGCATGGCGTTTCGCTCAAACAGCAGGGACACCGAAGACGCGCCGGTCCGCCCTCTCGCTTGCTGCGGCAACTGCAGCGCTACTTCCCGGTCGATTTGCCCCTGCTGTGGTGGCGCTCCTGCTTGGGTCTGAGACGCCGACGCCGAATGAACAGCACGACCACTATCACCAGCACCATCACCATCACCATCCCCATACCCATGACCACCACCTTCACCACCATCACCACCATCACCAGCACCACCAGCACCACCAACGTCGGGCGTCTGCTCGCTGGAGCCGCCTTCACCCCCAGCCGCCGTTTGCAGCTCAAGGATGCGATCATGCAAGTGGGCGGCCGCCACAACTTTGTTGCCGATGCGCGCATGCGTCTCGTCAAACAGCAGCCGAACAACCAGCGGGCTGTCGCCCTTGTCTTCGTCATCGATGTCACTGGTGTGCCGCTGCTCCAGCCGCGTCTTTGCCCTGGCCTTGCTGCCACCCTTCCCCATGTCCCTTGCTGGTCCTTCCTCCTTCCTGATGCGCTCCAATTGCAGCAGCAACAGCTGTGGCAGCTGCCGCTCCTTGCCGCCAGCGCTCGCCACGGGCGCATGCCCTCCTGCCTCGCCCACGACCCCGTCAACAACAGGCGCGATGCTGACAGTGGCCAGCGCCGCTGCAGCCTGCAGCACCTCGTCCATCTCCGCCTGCCACGCGTCCGCAGACGTTAGCAGGTGCTGGGCGGCCGAGTCCCCAGCCCGCGACACCTGGCGAAGCAGTGGGCCAACAGACGACAGCACAGCTCTCAGCTCCCCCACGCCGCCCTTGGCTCGGGCCAGAGCACCCGACAGCGCCTGCTGCTGTGGAGCTACGTCCCCTGCAGCTTGCATCAGCTCCCGCTGGGCGCTACGCAGCAGGTCTGGCAGCTCGCGCACGCGGCGCTGTTGCCACTCCTCCGTCACGTGCCCGTTCGGCGCAAACGCCTTCAGGCCAGGCGGCAGCCGTGCCTCAAGCTGAGCGGCGTCGTGTTGCGCGCGCTTCCTGCTGGCAACGGCCGTACTGTACGCGCCCACAAGCCGCATGCACGTGGTGTGCAGCTCCTCCCGCCACTGCGTGCGCAAGCGGTACATCTCAAAGTGCGACAGCGCGTTGGCAACGCCGCCCAGCAGCGCCGCGTGGCCCGCCAGCTTGCGTGCCGCCTCCCTTCGCCCGTGCACCTCCGTATTGTACGTGTGCAGCAGTGCAGTCGTGTCCTCGCTGTTGCCTGCGCCCCACGCCAGGTAGTCGCGCGCCGCCTTCTCCCGCTGCTGCATATCCGCATCAGCAGCCTCCACCGCCTCGTTGGTCTTGATCACGCTGCTTGCCAGATCCATCAACTCCTGTACCGCCCGCCGCAGCATCAACACACCGCCGCCACCGCCGCCATCGCGGTGCGGACCACGCAATACCGTCACGCTACCACCCTGTGCTGCCGTTGCTGTTGCTGCTGTTGTCGCTTCAGTGGTGGTTTCCAGCTCAGCCGCATACAACCAGCGGAACGCGTGCAATGTTTCGCGCACCGCCTGCAGCTGCTTGCGGCAAACATCCAGGCGAGCGTGCGTGCGCGCACATTGCAGGACGCGCGCGTTCTTGTGCACCAGCGCGGTGACATCGCGCTCGTATTCGTCGATGCGATCCGTGCGCGCCGTGCCGTTGCCCACGCACTGCTGCACCCCTTCATGCACCAGCTCGTGCAGGGCGGGAGCAGGAGCACCCGAGATCCACCGCTTCGACGCGTGCTGGTGCCCATCAAAGCCCACAGCACACAGCCGCCCGCACATAAACGCCTCTACAAACGACGTGATGGCACGCGGTGGAAGAAACATCCGCTCCACGGGCACACACACGCACTCGTCCACAGCGCAGTCCAACGCGCGAATGGCCCCGCTGGCAGTTGTGCTGCTCATGTGTGCACTTCTACCGCCCTGCCTGCCCACTGTCGAATCACGCACAGCATGGTCTGGTTCCCAGAAGCTGGAGCACAGCGTGTGGCACGCTTGCACCACCTGCTGTAGCAAGGAGAGCTGCATCCACACGCCGGCTGTCGACGTGAGCAAGCGGGCTTGCTCGCCCGCTGTTACGCTGCGGCTTGCGCCGATGTGAGGCACAACGCTGGCCCATGCAAACGGCCACTTCTTGTCGTTGACATCCACGCTCTGCTGCAACTTGAGCAGTGCAGTCACGACACCGTCGGCACACGCCATGACATCACGCAGCACACGCTTGCACCTTGCAAGCGGCTCCGCTTGCTGCTGGGGCGGTTGTTGCTTCTGCTGTTGCTGCTGCTGTCGCTGCTGCTGCTCATCCTTGCTGCCTTCACCTGCGGCTGATGTGCTGTCTGTTGTCGCATCTTCGCCGCTGAAGCCACTCAGTGTCTCTTGCACGCGTGTGAGGATGAGCTGAAGGTGGCTGTTCGCTTCCCTGACGCTTGTGGTGCAGTCATCCTCTGCTGTCTTACCACCGCCACCACGCTTGCGATGATGCTGGTGCTGCGTCATGGCGCGCTGCAGCATACGACCAACCACGGTCAGGTCGCCGATGTGCAGCAGCAGACCCCCCAGTTCCCGCCGAACGAAGCTGTCCTTGTCGCTCTGCACAATCGCCAGCAGCGACGCCACCGCCTGGCGGGCGCGACGGCGAGCACCGTGCAGCGCAGCCAGCACCGCAAACATCCGCACAAGTGGTGTGCACTGCACGGCCACAGCGTCATCGGCACAGCTGCCAGTTGCTGCTGTTGCTGAGGCGCCTTGCAGCAATGCAGCCTCTTCAGCAACTGAGAAGGAATAGGCAAGCGGACCGCTTGCGCCTGAGTCAGCACAGGTGAATCCAGCATCATCCTTTTCGCCGTCGCCGTCGTTGGCACCACTGGCATGGCCATGCTTGTCGTCGCCACGGGGGGCAGGTGATGCGGTGGGCCGACGCGCTGCAATTGTGTGCAGAAGCAGTGCCATGGAGGACAGGACCGAGCCACCACTTTGCTCCGCATCCGGCGCGTCATCACCCATGATGGAAAGTGCGCTAAATGCATCCCCCTCTTGAATGTCTTGCAGATATTGCGTCATGATTCGCAAGACTGCGCACTCGAGCGTCGTTTTGCCCAACTTGTCCGTCCGCACAACATTCCCAAACACCTGCATTGAGCCGAGAGAGAGAGAGAGAGTGTGTGTGTGTGTGTGTGTAAATGAGTGCATGAGTGCGTTGGTGCGTGAGTGTGTGTGTGTGTGTGTGTAAATGAGTGAGTGAGTGAGGTGAGTGAGTGAGTGAGTGTGTGTGTGTGAGTGAGTGTGCGTGTGTGAGTGTGTGTTTCACATGAATCAAGTCAAACCATCTGAACTGAGACAAGAGGAAATGAACGAGGTGGTCAACGGTTTTCCCCAGCTGCCACATACGCGAGCGACATGCGATCAACCACCCACGTTGAGCCTGTCGTGCAGCTTCTTCGAGAGCTGGCCGAGCGGATCTGCTGCGTGCGAAATCAGCTGGGATTCCGTCGCCTCCAAAGCACGTGCGGCATCAGCCAGGCCGTGCTCAGCCTGTGCATGTGAAGTGAGAGGGAAGAACGGCACCGCGTACAGCAGATGTGCAAAGTGATGCATGAAATGATACAGGTAGATGCGCCGGCGAGCGTGAGTAGAGGGTAGACACAAGGAGGACAGCAGTCGTGGATATGTGTTGTGTTGTGTTGTGTGTGTGTGTGCATATGTGTGTGAACAGTGGAGGAAAGACAATCGCACACGCACGAATCGCTCCAAGCATCAGTCATCTCATAAACAAAACAGAACCGCACAAACAATACGACATCTCACGGACCTGAGCAATTGCCTGCGCCTGTGGCGTTGGTCTATTGAGGGCATCTGCCTCCTCCATCACAGCCGCACATGTGCTCTGATCACCGCCAGCCTCGAGCACGCGCTGCAGCAGCCGGATCCAGTGGTAGTGCCTGCAGTGGCCATGCGCACCAGCACATGTGGCGATTAGAGACACTGATGACAGGGAGTTCAGACTGCTAGACCGTGTGCAGTACACAAGCAGATTGACACAGACACACAAACATAAACGCACACACATGCACACACAAACACAAAACACAAGCACACATACACAAGCACACAAACACAAGCACGGCACGTACATGCTGCGCTGGACGAGGTTTGGAGAGGAGGAGCGGGCAATATCGAGATAGCGGCTGAGGGCGCGAGCACATGTTGTAAGCAGCTGGTGGCGCCGCTCTTGGGCTTCCCGCAGGCGAGCACTGGCCGCTTCAAACTCATGCGCAAGCTGGTCACGTTTGAGGCAGGCAAACCGAGTATGGCAGCGAGTGAGAATCGTGTGTGTATGTGTGTGTGTGTGCGTGCACGCATGTGGGTGTCTTGCTGTAATTGTGGCAGACATCGCACATGTCTAATCAAACGCTTTGCTTCGCACACGCACATCCACACACCTCGTGCTTTCCGTATGCCTCGAGATATTGCAGTGCCTGTTTGTTTGGTCGTGTGGCGGCTGCACTCACGGCGGCCGTGGCAGCGGCCGGATCAAGCAGCACCGCAAACGCCTCGGCTGTAAGGCAACACCATGAACATGAATGGTGAGCACGATGATGAACAAGAATGGTTATGTTAGAAGGATGATGATGGTGGTGGTGCTGCTGCTGCTGTTGCTGATGAACACGGACACACAAAGTGAGCGTGAACCATATGCTGAGGGCAAAAAGCGTGGTGCTGGTCGTGAAGACCCTTAATGCTGGCACGTACCAAGTTTCTGTGACTGTATTGTCTCAAACGCGGCCTCATGCTGCTTGTGCCATCGCTGGCACGACGCCAACCACTTGCGCAGCTTCGATGCGCTCGCATGAACCTGAAGAGTGTGTGTTTTGACATGTGCATGAATGTGCATGTGTGCATTTGTGAGTGTAAATGCGTGTGTACGTGTCTGCACAAGGGACCATGCATCATTGAATACCACACCCACCACGAGTGGCCCCACCACCAACCAAACCATGCACACGTGTGCGCACGAGCGCAAACATTTGCCGCACCTGAGTGACACCGTCTTGCTCTCGCTGGTAGACGGCCACCAGGGAGTGGAGAATGTCGTGTGCATCGGGCTGCTGAGCGAGAGACCGCAGCGCTGCTTGCTCTTCCATCAGCTCTGCGTGGAAGTGCAGAGGCGAAGTCAACCAAAGGGGAGGAGGAGGGATGAGTCAACATAAAGCACCAAGTGATATTCCCGCGAGAACACACACACACACACAAGCTACACACAAGCTACACACACACAAGCTACACACACACACACACACGCTACACATACACACACACCCTACACATACACACACACACACACGCTACACACACACACACACAGCTACCATACGTGTGGCCGTGTCGATAGCGCTGTGCAACGAAGAGAAGACGACGGCCGCGTGTGCAAACACAGACTCAAAGTCGTGCAGTGCTTTTGCAAGCTGGCGGCGGCTGGTGAGAATGCGTGTACGCAACTCCGCCACGCGTGCAGCCAGGAGATTGTGCCCGATGTTGCGCTCCATGGCCTGGTGGAAAGCACATCGGGGTGAAACAGGAGACGTGAGAGCTATTTTCTCACGTGAATGAAAACAACACGAGCGAGCACGTGTGCTGATACAAGTACACACACACACACACGCACACACACACACACACATGCACACTGACCTTCTGTTCTGCAGCTCCTTCAATGTCCTTTGTCCAGTCGACGAGGGGATCGTACACAAACGCCTCCAGGAGTGTGAGAAGGATTTCGCGGTGGCCGTGAAGCAGCGACAGCACGTGCTCGCATCTGCAATGATGTCGTCGGCATCGTTGAGTGAGACAGTCAGTGTGTGAGACAAAACAACACAAACAACACAAACAAACAACAAACAAACAAGCAAACAAACAAACAAACAAACAAACAAACAAACAAACACACAAACAAACAAGCATAAAAGTTGACATTCAGTCCTTCCTACAAACACGAGCCAACACCAAAATACAAGGTTGGCTCACGTTTGCTTGAAGCCGCTGCTGACACCGCCTGGGCCAAGTGCGTGCAGGAAATTCTGCGTAAGGCGAAAGGGAACTTTCTCCGGCACGCGCAGCTTGAGACCCTGTGCGCAACAGCCAGCGTGATGCGACGGGAGGGGTGAGGTTGAAGCAGCCCTGAACGCGACTTCAAGCATGTTATTTCAGTTCGAGACATGTACGAACTTTATCGAAGCAAATGTTGTAGTCAATGTGGATGATTTCTCCAGTCACTTCATCTGGGTGAGAACGAGCCAGGACAGATCGTGAGCGGAATGCACGCAATTGCACGTTCCATTGTGCAACCGTAATACCATCACAACACGCACGGGTGCACAACACGCACACACACACACGCGTGTGCACAAACGCCAACACAGAAACACACACACATGTCCACAAACGCCAACACAGAAACACACACACATGTCCACAAACGCCAACACAGAAACACACGAACACACACACAGAAACACACGAACACACACACACACACACGAAACACACGAACACACACACACACACACACACACACACACACACGACACACACACA